ACTGATAAGGTACACTGTGGCAGCTGACTTAACTGATTAGGTACACTGTGGCAGCTGACTTAACTGATTAGGTACACTGTGACAGCTGACTTTACTGGTTCGGTACACTGTGGCAGCTGACTTTACTGATAAGGTACACTGTGGCAGCTGACTTAACTGATTAGGTACACTGTGGCAGCTGACTTTACTGATTGGGTACACTGTGGCAGTTGCGCGACACCAGTCAATTACATTCTACGCATTTGTTTGACAAAGGAAATAAACGTTGACGAAATCTTGCAGGAAATGTTATTCCCTGTATGTGTGGAAATTTGACTTATGACTGATGTAGAGATACAGAAATGGTATGATCGGGTTAACGATACCTTCATACCTAAACATAAAAATAAGAAATACAATTAGAGACTGGTATTTCAAGGTTGAGCTATATTATAATTATTAGAATTTTTTTTTTTTATATTATGGTTGAACTATTATCTCAAATAATAGCACAAACCGCAGTTTCAAAGTTGAACTATTTTTCGAAGCTTTCAGATGAGTTAAATTTTCAGTTGATTTTTTTTATTAGATAACAGAAATAAGGGGATCTAGCGAACCAAGTTTCCAATGAAATCTTTTTAAAGGTTTATGATGAAACAGTTTTTAAAATATATTGTATACATATTAGCATTTTATCCTGATATTATGTAATGATGCATTAAGTGACAGAAATATGTTTAATGCTTATACAGCTCTGACGTATAATAAAGATATTGCAAAGTCACTTTTCAAATATGCCGTTCATAAAACATATTTTTAAAGCGTCGTTTTAGTTGAATTGCTGTCTTGCTCAGACACAAATGACTTTCGCTTTCACCTTTCCACGGTATAGTAATACTCGGCGGTTACATTCCTTGTGTAGGTTTGCTCACCTGCTCATTGATTTTCATATCGAGTAAATTATAAAGTTAATAGAACCGATTGTGCGGTATCCTGTCAGCTTACCAGTAAATTCAACGCCGCATTAAATTAGGCATAGTTCCATAGTTAATTATATATGCAAGTGATTTCTAAAATAAAAGTGATAATTTTATTTTTGTCAAAAAAATGTCAAGGCAATGCACAAATTTGGAAAATATTGTACTTATGATTTGTTTTGGAAACAGTTAAGCTTACTGAGACTAGTCCCCGGATGGCATGCTTTTTGTTCTTTATACCACAAACATGACACGAGTTAAGTACAGTAGTTGTTGCAACACCAACAAATGTAATGTGCTCAGCAATGACAACCGTTTAGTCATTAAGACTGTTTCGCTCATGACACATTCCCTAATGTTTTTAAATCTCGAATAGCGGTAACGTGATCTAGCATTTATCCCGATCTGATTATCGACTCACTTGTACTCAATATGGTAATCAAAGGTTAACACGACAGGCTATTTTCGTTGACGAAACTTTGGCTTTAAATCGAGGATATAAAACATTCGTTCGAAGAAAAAGGACCTTAAATATGCTAATGGTAAACGAGGTGGGCAATTACACGAGGGACGTTATATCGACGTCACACTGTAAACCGCAGTAGACAATGATGTCCATTTCGAAATGATCGTATATGGTATTGTACGCTTTATAACGACACACACGTGCAATGGTAAATCGATACAGATACCCTGTATGATGACACAGCAAGTTTTCGTTAAATAGATTGCGCAATGTAGTAGACTATTATTTGTTATTGATTATTTAATCGTGTAGTTTGTATGGAATATCAGTAATTTAAGATATATATATATATATACAATATACAATAATAATGCTTACCCAGGCCTTTGGATTCCCGAATTCGTTTTTCTTTAGCTGCATTACCAGTCGTTCCTGCATGTCTTCAAGTGCATCGAGTCCATCGAGTGGTACTCCCAGTTTGTCAGCATACTCAAAAATGTCATCAAACTCCTCAGAGTTCAAAATATCTGCCTCTGTTATACCTGCCATATTTTAATACACGCAAGATGCGTTAGACAGAGTCACATTTATATGTATTATTGATACATCGCACGCGCGCTCATTGAAGACTCAAGCATGGTGGTATCACTGTTATGGTTGCGTGATCAGTTAATGATTGGGAAACCAATGTGTCAGGGACTTTATACCTACAAGCGTCTCGAGACAACGATTTTCGGCCCATACACACTCACAGAGTCACACACACGCCACTAATAATATGTAATTCTACCTTTTAAACTTCCTGGTTGCACAATGTAAGAGACAGCAAGTTAAAAGAGTGTTAGGCCTATAGAGTGAAGTGTCCTCTATATGTGGTCTGTATTATAGGTGTCCCCTAAGCTTCAATGACTACGTCATACCAGACTGTTCTACATGTGTTTTGTACAGTCATCGAACGGCCTAATTTATACTTATTTGACATTGTGTTTAAAATGCAGGTAAAGTATTATTCAGCAGTGTGACGTAACGAACGAATTTGAGATTAGCAATCGGTTAGCACAATGTTGTAAAATAATATAAAACAATGTCAAGTAGTGTAGTTAAGACGACCATTTTATTTCAAAAACGTTTGACCGCCTTAACAATATGCCTGCAATCAAAACTGGCGGCGATTGGGGCTTATAAGGGACTTTATAAGAACAGTTCATTTTTAAAATAATAATCATAAATCATTTAATTCAAAAATGGGTTAAGGAGTTTCTTTTAAACAGTTTTATTTACCATTGATCTATCCTTCAATACCAACTATTGTATATTAACGTCATTTTCATGTCATTATGATCTCCCTTGTTAAGAATCCAGTTTTTCTGTTCTCAATTAACAATGAAAATAGCTACTATTTTATTAACGACGCTACAGTAGTTAAACAACCTGGTAGTGTACACACATCAAACAACCTGATAGTGTACACACATCAAACAACCTGATAGTGTATACACATCAAACAACCTGGTAGTATACACACATCAAACAACCTGGTAGAGTACACACATCAAACAACCTGGTAGTGTACACACGTCAAACAACCTGGTAGTGTACACACATCAAACAACCTGGGAGTGTATACACATTAAACAACCTGGTAGTGTATACACATCAAACATCCTGGTAGTGTATACACATCAAACAACCTGGTAGTATATACACATCAAACAACCTGGTAGTATACACACACCAAACAACCTGGTAGTGTACACACATCAAACAACCTGGTAGTGTACACATCAAACAACCTGGTAGTGTATACACATCACACAACCTGGTAGTGTATACACATCAAACAACCTGATAGTGTATACACATCAAACAACCTGGTAGTGTATCCACATCAAACAACCTGGTAGTGTATACACATCACACAACCTGGTAGTGTATACACATCAAACAACCTAGTAGTGTATACACATCAAACAACCTGGTAGTGTATCCACATCAAACAACCTGGTAGTGTATACACATCAAACACCCTGGTAGTGTATACACATCAAACAACCTGGTAGTGTATACATCAAACACCCTGGTAGTGTACACACATCAAACAACCTGGTAGTGTATACACATTAAACAACCTGGTAGTGTATACACATCAAACAACCTGATAGTGTATACACATCAAACAACCTGGTAGTATACACACATCAAACAACCTGGTAGTATATACACATCAAACAACCTGGTAGTATACACACATCAAACAACCTGGTAGTGTACACATCAAACAACCTGGTAGTGTATACACATCACACAACCTGGTAGTGTATACACATCAAACAACCTGATAGTGTACACACATCAAACAACCTGGTAGTATACACACATCAAACAACCTGATAGTGTACACACATCAAACAACCTGGTAGTATACACACATCAAACAACCTGGTAGTGTACACATCAAACAACCTGGTAGTGTATACACATCAAACAGCCTGGTAGTGTACACACATCAAACAACCTGGTAGTATACACACATCAAAATATAAAAGTTCAAAAAAATAACCGATTTGATGTAATATTTTTTTGGTCTCAATGTTTAATAAAAACACTGTATTTTATGCAAAAGGAATTAATTTGATTTATGTTCTTGTTCAATTAATTATTGGGGTGTAATTTAATAATAACTTAAGGAATAGGTCCACGCCGCTCTCTATGCAGTATAACAGGTAGACCTGTGAAATATTTATTACGTAGGGGAAAAATTCATAATGTAGAATATTGTTTGGTGCAATATTTCGTACGTTCAGTGAATCGTAAACCGTGTTTATCTTGTCATATCGAAACGCTTACAATGACATGAAAGTCACGCGTAGTCACTCATATACATGTACCCTCTATTCACCAAACCACAGACCTACTTTGTCTGTTTTATTGTAGCAAGATTCATTTATGGATACCAAGTGTCTCCATTGGTTAATTGATAAAGCGTTTTCATAACAAGAAAAGATAACGACAATTTCATTTTTCATGTAATGGATTTGTATAACAAATTGTGTATGACTTGATTTACGACGAATAAAGCAAGCGTGGAAATATTTCTTATTCTCGCACATCAGACAGTGATATCCCACGTCCTACACCATGCTAGATTTTTCTATCTCGTCCGATATGTCTTGTACATTTACGTGACATTTCGCGGAATTTTTACACTGCGATGTATTCATCCGCGCATTAACTGCCTACAATCGACAATTTGCATTACAAATGTTCAGTTTAGTCGATATATGTATAGTTTTGATGTTGTCAGATATTTGATTTTGTGGATAAAATATAATCTACACTGTGAAATACGCGGTAATCTATGTAGGGACGGACTTTATTTTTTTTACGAGGAAGCATTCAAATGTAGCTTAAGTAGTGAAGAGGTCATTATCATCTGAGGCCCAAGGCGGGATACCTGTAGGTTTTAGCAAAATTGAATAGTTTTTTTTCGAACTCAAAGGTGCGAGAAAAAAACCCAATAACCTATATGTAATATATCTTATTATTCATCTTCAGCATGACATCGTACCTCGTATCATTAAGATGTTTGGCCAACTAAAAGCGTTCATATTGTAGTGGTAACCATATCTAAATGCAACTTTGAAATAAAATGATTTCACTTTCTAAATCATATATCTACTTCACAACCTTGTAATATATCACGGCAGTATCAACGGCACACGTTAGGTACGGTATTTGATTGGTTGCAGACATAAGAAACAGGGTGGTTGGGTGGTGCAGTGGAAAACGCACTTGCCTATCACCTTGGCGGCCAGGGTTTGATTCCCCGCTCGGACGCGAAAAGGTATTGGGTCAACTGCCCGACCAAGTTGGTTTTCTCCGGGCACTTCGGTTCCCTCCAACAATAAGACCACCCGCGCGCTAACATCTGGGCCAACAAGAGTTTTAAATATAAGTTGAAATAACTTGTTTCATAATTGTTTTAAAATAATTAAAACTCCTACATATATTAAAAACATACCAATCTCTACCCTGATAGATATTAGGACCGGTGTTTTGGAAGTTAGCGTGGAGCTAATCTGAGATGAGAGTCCGTTAATGTTAACGTAACGCAGATATGCATGACCCTACTCATCTCGTCCATAAGTTGGTACATACACGGATTCTGATGCTGTCGTTAAAAATATCCAAGAGTGCAATGATTTGGATTTCGAAGATGATTTAAGCTGTAAAAATATCTTAGCGGATTTTGAATTTATTTTAAAACGTCAAATCATGAAAACTACTTAATAAAGAAACACGTAATTGTTGTAATGAGTGTAAACATTTTGGCGCTTCGCGAAAATATATGTTTGCTAAAGTAAATACGTTTACGTTAGTGTTGTATGAGAGACTAATTTCTAGGCATATTACACCATATAGGGTCATAGCAGCAAGTCTGACGGCAGTCATCATTGCAAAAGTCTAGCTTCTGTTAGAGCTCGCAACAAACCTGATCTCGTGTTCGGACGTTTCATTTATCAGTAACAGTGACCATGATTATGTAGACATATTTCTCTTTATAAAGGAAAGTTCGATTGTCCTCTATTTAGGGTTTTCTTAGCTATGAGAGTTTTTACTTTATTTGTTACTATATTATTAACGTGTATATGCATACATGTACATATTTCTTTGAAAACAAATTCCAGTTGAAACTGTTAGTTGTTTGATTACTCTTTTTCGAAAGAAAAAGGACCAAACCAAAGGAATACATCATGATCCTTGTGTTAATCCGTGTTAATAGCTAGAGTTATATGGAGGCCGTGAACAAAAAGAGACAAACAAAAAAGACACCATGATTGTATTTATTCAACAATAAACCCATCCCATATAAGTGTTCACCTCATCGGTGTCATTTCTTTTGACTCATACATTTCGATGACTCACAATATTGAAAATGAATTTTCCTAGAAGCAACTGATCCTGTAAATACCTGTGAAATGTATAAACGTCAAGAGATATTCGCTTCTGTATCAGTATTTCACAAACTAATGTAGCATGTCGTACATGTGTAACGAGAACTTCTGGTTTCGATGTTATATAATGGCACTGTGCACACCTGTTATATCAAGTTGCATTAAAGTAGAATGAATGAAAAGAAAAAAACCCAAATAGCCAGCGATAAATTATCTTGTTTATTGCAGCAGGATTAATAAACACATGCTTTTATTTTTCTGTCGTCTCTAAAGTAAGTCAAACGGAAATAAATCATTAAGTGTAAATTTCATGAAGTATTTGAGGGCAATTGTTTTCTCGGGATGAACTGTTTTGCAGTCATCCAAAAGTTGAGTAAGACAAATAGTATTTATCATACGTAAGTATTTGGTAGGATATTCTTCTAAAGGTTGTAGAAGTTCTGTCGCAAAATTCTTCACCCAAGGGTAGAATTTCTATTTCTCGCAAACCTACCTAGTGATTGACCCTTTTTCTCCCATCTTTAAACCACAACCTTGTTTAAACAAGACATGGACAATACAACACATCACTAAAATAGTAAACATTTCAAGATAATGATAAACAAACATACACCATATCCCAAAATGAAATAAAAAAAATAGTAAACTGTAGGTATTTCGCAAACTTACAGATCAATGCAAGACCTTCAAGGCAAGCTTGTACTACAATTATTTTGATTTTTAGATGGTATCACGTGCCCCATGCAGGATTTTCTCTTTTACACAGTCAAACGACGTTTTGACGCGTCTTTAATTGTGACGTCATAATAAAACTAAGTCATCTAATTTCCCGAGGTTCTGACGCAAAATGATCTGCCGAGGGTAGACTATCAATATCTACATAATGATTATTTTTTTCTCTCCCACCTTTTAACCGAAAAATTGTTAAAACCGGACAAAGTCAATGCAACATATCATCAACATCTGTTGGTCAAATGAGTCATCACCTTATAGTGGGATGAATGATTCTTCTTGTCTTACCCTGTTAAGCCTGTCATATGCATAATGCAATATTTATGTTATGGGCTCAATGCATTATTGGCGTAACCTCATACAATTGTTTTGATATGGGGACACCCCATACGTGTCATGTTTTCATGTAGAGTTGGTGATCTGATAAGAAATTTCAAACTAATATTGCAGGAATTATTATTCAATTAAATAATAGGTTGCTTACTACAATAGGGATATTATGAATTTTTTTCTGCATCTGTGTGCATATTTTATTTCTTATCATCATAAAGGAAAATAGTTAAGAACTTTTGTCGTAATATCGATATTTACAGCCACATTTCACATGAATAAAATATAATCTAAATTTAAATAAAAAGATGAATAATTGAGTATAAAAATTGATATTAAAAATATTTTAAATGATACGACTGAATGTAAGTATAATTACTTAAAAGTATTGTGCATGTATAACCAAAGACTACTCTTCCGCAGCCCACAACCCAAACTCGCACTTTTGATTAAGGTGTCATTGTAACAAAATAACTTTTATGTAAATCACTGGGTCAAACATGGAAATATCCTGGGACTCTAATTTAAATCAAACTCTAAACATTCTTATTTACATCTGTAAACAAACAATTCTTCCAAACTCTATAGAAAATTACTCATATGATTGAACTAGTCTTCAAAATAATTTTGTGTTTGTATGACAATATTATATATACTGATATTTTAGGACTCAATAGCTAAATGTATTGATTATTGCAAAAGTACAGCCATTATTGCACATTATTGAACAGATAAACAAGATTGATAATTTTATTACCTGAATAACGATAAATGAAAATACACTAGATATACAAAGTAGATATATAAAATATGGCAGGTGTAAGCGATGACGTACATTAACTATTCCATGGTTCACAAAAGTATCAGTATCATAAATATATAAGATTACATGTTTGCGGGTCATAAGGTTGCACCTACCCTACTCTACCCTACTTAAAAACTAATTTGAATATTTTTGTTTTGGAGACGATTCAGAGATATATTTTGGACACTTTGTTATTAGATCTTTCTTATTTTCTAATTGTGGTATATATTTTTTTGTAGGTCGGCTTGTCCTGGGGTTCCAGCTTAGAATGGTGTGAGTTTATGGACAATTTCTCTGTGCTCGTCTCCAGTTCATGTCTGACCAACCGTCTGTCTGTCTGTCTGTCTGTCTGACCAACCGGCCGTTACCTGTAGAAGCCGCTTTATATTACTGTTATCAATAATTAGTGAAACAAAATATCTAACATCATTTCATATTAATACTTCTATATTTAATATAAGGCTGTGTATTTCTACTTCGTTTTATGTATGCACTGTTTATGGTTTTATAGGTTTTGTCCTTTTGCCCAATTCCTTTTTATGTAAGACTTATATTATAAAATACTTTGAAATGAAAAAAGTTTGCATATTCTGATGTTTATCGCATTCATATTATAATAAACGCTTAGTACAGTAAATGTGACCTGGTATATAAACTTAAGATAAAAAAATAAAAAAATATTTTATAAATACATTTTTGAATATTCTTTGAAGGAGGGCAATAACTCTTATACACATTGCGTTTAGTATATCTACATGAAAGCAAATCATAATTGTATAAAATCAGCGAAATGAAACATTCTTCCGTTGAATAGTAACTTTCTAGATTATTTTTGTTTTTGGTAATCTCACTGAATCGCGCTGTTCATCCAACGTATTTGTGAAAACATCCTATAAAGTTTATACATTTAAATATGCTTTTTATGTAGCCTTACTAAAGTTCGTTCATGGATCTATAGAAAAAAATCTCAGGAAATTGTCTGCCTATATCAGCATGTTATATAGCAAATTCCAATCCACTATACTTTTTTATTTATCTATGCAATAGTTCATGACCTACCTTGTTGTCAGCTAACATATGTTGATTTTTTATGATACTCCACAGCTCAAGCTTTTTCTTCTTCTGATTATGATATCAATTATGATCAAGTCAATATTTTTGTTAAATAGCATACATTTCATGCTATTTTGTTCGTAAACCGGTTAACTTGATGGTTGTGCAAGAAATAAAGTCATTCCGAAAAAAAATGTATTGCAAAGTGCCTACAAATGATTAAGTAGTTTTCTTATAACTCCTCTATAAAATATATAATATATCTGATAGTAATATAGTAAGCCTAGTTATGAAAAAAGTAAACAATATATTAACAATAATATTGTGCAAATTCTAAGCCAGGAAAAAGGAAATTGGTACTTTCGGGGAGAAAATATGAAACAAATAAAGCTAATCAATCACGTTTGGAATCAAATTTTCAGACTTATGGCAAACATTCAGATTCACAGTATTTTGCAGTTGACATACTGAAAAAGTTACATTGGGTTGAAACATAATACAACCCCTTGAAGTCATGCACTAGGCCATCAATGCGGACACAATATTTTGCACAGAAGATACTGCAATGTAGATACAGCAATATCTTCAATAAGAACTGGTCAGACTATTTTCGCATAGTTAACATATGAACATATTCAAATGCGTCTTTTGAGAAAAATACTTGCAGCAGAATTATGATACAAACTAGCTATGAGGCTTGTCACTAACAGTATATACAAAAATACTCAACAAAGCGAGGAAATACAACCAGAATAAAGACATATGACCCCAACACCCTTATCGTACACTATTTAGTTTATAACTTTGTGTCCTCGTCTCGTTGATGAATGACATTGGGTTGTGAAGATGAAGAGGAATTCGTCCACCCTGTCAATGTATCACAAAGTCGGTCGGTTGGAACAGTCATGTTCACCAATTCCTCTATGATGATCTGGTCCTTGGATTCTAGTCTGCTGAACCCTTGTTCCGTACGAATGCATTGACCAAGGTGCATTGTCTTGGTAAAATCTGACAGTGAGAGAGAATGTTTTGATCGGAAAGGTTTGTCAATGCACAGCACTTCATACATAAGGAGACCAAACGCATATATGTCTGCTCGATTGACATATTTGTGACCCCGTAATACAAAAGGAGGTATGTACACAAACTCGGCAGCACGAATTTCCGACGAGTTCTCCGGGAGTTTGGCATGCCGTGGAAAGCATCCACCGGTCAACTTCACATTTCGGTACTGGTCCACCTTAGAAATTAAAAAAAACACAACCCGTTAATACAAAATTAGTAAATCGAACGTTTTGTGATCATGTGCTCTATAAATAGTAGGGCTGCAACGATTTATCACGCGACGATATATCGTAATATTTTGAATATTACCATTTACAAATTTGCAACATGTCCCTTATCTTTGTTTCTACTGTAACTATATATATCGTGATACGTATGTGGAGGCACGGTAGTCTAGTGGTAGGACGCCGGGCTCGTGACCGACGGGTTGCGGGTTCGAGTCACGGCACGGCACAGTGTTGTATCTTTGAGCAAGATACTTTGCTCGACTTTTCCTAGCCTACTCAGCTGTAAATGAGTACGTGGTTGGGCAGTGCTAGAATTGTTGAATGCTAGCACCGAAATGGCAGCTCCGGCTGCATGCTCCCCAGGTAGTTGAGAAAGATATTGGCTGGTTGCAAAGGTCCTATAACCACGAATAATAATTTGTGACGACCTACGAACTAGGTTGTGATAAAGCGGTATATAAGAACCTCGAATTATTATTATTATTATTTTTACTATCGTATCGTGACCACCGTATCGTGATACGTATCGTATCGTCATATAATGTATCTTTGCAGCCCTAATAAACAGAGATAAATTTTAAAGAAAAACATTTGTTATTTATTTTGTTTATTATGGAAGTTTATGGAAGCATAATGTACTTCCGATACTTTTTTTTGTATTAATTCTACTTCACATCCTTGTGTATGGGTCGAAATTTTCAAACAATCAAACTGCCATCCTGTCATATAAATGGGACCCAAGAATTAACACACATTATTTCTCAATATTTGCCTTTTCATAAATGCAACGTATTTAGTTGAAACATTTCTAGATTTAAAGAAGAAGACCAATCAAATATTTGAGCTACTTTGAAACTTTGTGTACTGATTCTCGGGCCCAGGAAGGCGCCTATAATCAGTGTTTATTCATAACCATAGACCTTGTCTGCGAAATTGAATTGAAATTGATTCTCAGATTTTGGAAAAGTAAAAAACATCGTAGGACGATTATCAAAAATGCTACCGTACGTAACTAAGGAACCATGTGTTTCGGAAGGATGAGCGTTACCTACACCAAAATTAGTAACCTTGTCAAGCCTTACCGTCACAGTGTTGATGCTAAGTTCCATGTGGACCATCTGAACACAGTGAAAGTAGTTCACCCCAGCAGCGACTTCCAGAAAAATCCTGGGGATGTCAACTTTAAAGCCCATCGGGTCTTGATTGCGTGCAATGCTCAGGGTATCAAGGTTTCCGAGAAATAGGGACACCGGAGGGGGAGCGTCAGAGTAGTGGATACCGAGTAGTTTAGCAATATTTGGGCAGTTGAGTCGCCTTGAAAGTAAAAACATTTCAGAATTACACCACAGATATGTTTGTTATCTGCTTTGTTTACTTCATTTTGTCAGTTTCAATAACTGATATGTATTTTTCGTATCCTCTGAGAGTATTTAATATAAACAGTTTTTTAAATAATATCTACTTTGCCAAATCCTGACAACGATATTTCAAAAATATTGAGACAAAAATAAATAAATAACAAACACACAAAAAAAACACCCATTACCGTTTTCAATGAAGTTTAGTCGACTATCCTTAAATTTTATTCGTTTATTAATGTAAAAAGATATGTTCTAACAGAATATGACATTATTTTTTTTTACATTTTTGCTTATTACTGCAAATTTATGCATTTGTGGTTTTCCGCTTCTACAAATGATATAATTCAATTCAAACCCGCAGATGACACTTTGTATCACTTTGTTAAATTGAAAAAAAAATGAATAACTTAATTAAGAAAAATTTATAAACTCGCCTTTGCGCTCATGTTTAAGTCCTAATATAAGACAAAAGACAAATGTAGATTAAATGAATGAAAGGCTTAATAACTTACTTTATGCGAGCCACTTCTCTGAATGTCGATTCCACTCCAGACAATCGGCTGTACATTCGGATAGTTGTATCCTTTGAACCATCATTGGTGCTGACCTTTCCGGGTTGGAGAACCGTCCACAATCCTCTTTCTACACGTTTCATACTCGTTGTTGCACCACCGTCCAATATTACGTTTGAACTTCTAAAACTGTTGGTGCTTTTTCCTAAGGAAGACTTGAATTCCTCTTGTAGCTCCAACTGCTCATTTCGGAACGTGGTTATGGCTATATAACCATTACCAAAATCGCTTATATGCTTCGCGGGAGTTTCAAAATCTTTCAGCATGAAGTGATACCGATTCTTTGACTCCATGGCGTCCAGTCTACAGCAAAAAGCGTGCTCCAATGACTTCTTGTTGGAGTCAATGAGGGCGGGGATGTTCTTCTGAATTTTCGATAGCTGTTTCATCGGTCTTTCCATTATGCTTTCAACAAAAGATTTCAAGATATTGTCGTTTTCTTCTTTCAATACCATCTTCTTCCAGGAACTCTCTGCTCTTTTAGTTGCAATCTTCATGGGATCCACGGAGTACGATTTTCTTTTGCAGGCGTTCCTGAGAATAGGAATATTTCAAATAAAGTGTATCGTAACAAGATATCAATTTTCTATCCATAGTTACTTATATTTTCTTTTGGTGCGGCAATGTCTTATATTCTTTTTATGAGGAGTGTCATTTATGAGGGCATAACTGCCATTTCTATCGGTAGTGTAATACATAGCCTGAGTACTACTGCTACCATTGCGTGATAACGCGCACGTAAATTATTAAAAAAACACATTGATTAAAAAGCTATCGACCATTATGTAGAAGAACGCATGTGGCAGAAGTTGCCGTTATACATGTACAAGTTGATCTGCGAAGAAATATACTGTTTATTGTTTAAGTAACTTTTAAGCATATTTGTAAACATAAAATAACCACGTTAGAATTTTTTTTATGTTTGATGTTCTTAACTAAATATAAATATGATAAGACAAGGTTTAAAATAGACCAGACAAATAGTGGCATAGGGAGAATTTTTGTTTAGTTGACACTCTCGAAAAATAATTTAATACGGCGATGTGCTATAGTTACCTAAATTCATCAACCATTTTGACACGCTGAAGAATTTTTCCCCATGGATTCTGCGCTTGTGTCATCAATTTCAGTGGCATAGCTTGTTCATTAACGCCTGGATTCGTCATTCCAAAAATACTTGCCATCGGTGTCGCGGCGTGAAGTTGCTGATGCATGGATTTTGAAAGGGATTTTGAAAGCTCAGTGACGCCCATGTTTTTTTCGATGGCATTAAAATCGGACTGTAGAATATTGAGTTCTTCATGAACTTCACTGAATATTTTCTCTTCAATCTTGACGATATAGTTATTTTCTTCATTCCATTCCTCGAGAACATCGCTTAGCCGTTGTGAAAATTTGAAATCAAGTTTATCTTTGACTTGTGGCCAGGTCTTGCCATCCGACGAAGGGAGTTCACATGTTTCCCATCTCAACAGTTTTTCTTTCACCGATGGACGTTTCAATCTTTCCCTGAACTCTTTACATACTTCGTTGGTCTTTTCCTCCAAATCTCGGTGCAGGCGTAAAAATACGTCTTCCGCTTTGTGCTGTAGTGCTTCAAGATTTTTGGTAATATTTCGTGTCCTCTGATTAATGTCTTCCTCGGATGTGTTTAAATCTCGAACGATGGCACCGATATGGAACATACTTCTGGTCACCACGTTGGCTACCCACCTGACAATTAGATCAAATTCAAAAGCACCATTAGATTTTAAGATGAGAAGTAATATAATCCATGAACAAATTATATCGATTGCCCTAAATTACAAACAAAATAACTCAAATCCTGTACTATTATTTTTTGTTTTGCAGTAGGGTTTCTTTGTTACTATACAAGATTAATTCCAAAGTCTCCAAAGAGTATTCTCATAGTCTCCACGTGTACACGGTAACTTCCGGTAAACAATATATCCGGTTGGAATTTATACTTACTGGTAAGTTGACTGGATCCTTGTATCAAGAGCAATAATGTAAATATTTCTCAGGTGTTCCAACATGATTCTGTAGGTTTCCGGGATGAAGTCGGCGTCCACGTTGGCTTCGCGTAAAGCCGATGTAGTGGACATCCGGACGATCTGGTCGGCGCTGAGACTTGGCCAGCACTTTGACAGCTTTTTGACAGCATTTTTGAAGACAACATCTTGCTCATTTGGCTTGATAGCGTCCCAACGATTGCAGACGAACACTGTGCTTTTTGGGTTGAACGGTATTGCAGTTTTGTCATCAGACTGCGTCCTCTGCTTTTCCAAGATCACCCTGATTAGTGTCAGAAGCTGTAAAATATATGTAGTAAATCAATATACGGGTATTACTTGTATGTGTATCAGGCACATACAATCGACTGACGGACTATTACAAAATCTAAAATCCAAATGTCAATGTGATCACTCGAGGCTATGTGTATACATGAACAACCAGTTATCTATATACATGTAGTTATATCTACGTATTAATATCGATATTTTAGGGATACTGTCTGGAATCCGATTGGTTTACGCTTGTCACGTGGTGACGAAATAAGCATCACATATTGTCAGTATGAATAATGTATAACTATGAAAATAAATTAAATTGATTGTGACGTCACAGTAAATATAAGCTTAAATGAGTTTCCAGGTCTTACGAGAACAATGACATTTCGATTTTAACAAGGTTCCGTCGATCATAAAGAAAACTTGAGGAAGTTTTATCATTTTACCACTCCATCATATCTATAAAGTGACGATATCATTCCCTATCTTACCCGGTCTTCGTCCACGCCTCCGGCGTTATCAGATTTGATGACGTAGACAAACCCCATAACAAAATTTTCCTGAACGTAGGACGCGATAATGTCATCCATGGCCTCGTTTTCACCTATCCCAGGACTGTCGATGAGCACAAGGCCACACTAACAAAAAAGATATCTTAATTGTATTTGCAGAACTGTGAAAAGTTTACGATACGCGATACGATATTATCACAATAGGATATGTATCACGATACTATACATCACTAAACGTTATTATCACGATATAATATGTAACATGATACTATACGTATTACGATACGATATCATCTCGATACGTTATCACCACGATATGCTATATAACATGATACTATACGTATGACGATACGTTGTTATCACGATAGGATATGGCTCATGCCACTTTACGTATAACGATACGTTATTATCACGTAAAATATGTATCATAATACGAAACGTATCACGCTTTAATATGTATCACGATACTATGTATCACGATACTATGTATATACCACGATACGATACGTATTACGATACGATCGTTTCTTGATGCAACACATATTTCAATAATAGCTTATTTGGGATACGTTATGTATTACTATACGATATAACCACGATACAAAATTATCACGATACAATATGTATCACAATATGATATTATCACTAGGTTACGAGAGGTATCACCATATTTGTTATAGGTTACGTTCAAAATATATAAAACAGAAATCTGTCGTTATATAGAAATATTTTCCAATTATGAATTGTATCGTGCACTGAAAATTACGATTCATTGGTTAGTTTTTTAAAAAAAAATCATAAATGATATACCATAAATATTTTACTTCATCAATTTCACTATGCCGACCCTTAAGAGTATGTGTGTTTATACAATTGTGTTTCCAGTACGTGATAAATAGATAGGGCACTATATTCTATTGATGTGATATACTTATACATTACCTTCAGAATGCACGCAGGCACTTCGAATTTCACGTGCAATACATCTGTCTCTGTCTCCCGCTGTCGACTCTTGTCATCCCTCACAAAGATTATCGGCCATACCTCCTTCTCAAGACTCTCTTGTGTAAGATCAAAGAATCTGCGTACCTTTCCATTTTTGTATACTATCTCTGCCCCTAGAGAACTGCCGTATGATATTTTGGTGATAACAGAAGTGCAAGACTGCATGCTTGTAGGAAGGATGTCGCTTCCTAGCAGCAAGTTTATCAGTGTGGATTTCCCGGCGCTAGTTTCACCTAAATTTGATACAAGAATGCCTTTTAAATTAAAAGCACATTGGAGAGTTCCTTTCAATTTATTTTAGCAAACAATAACCTACCCTTAGGCTTGTTTTGGATATAACTGTACAGCGACCAAGTCGAGTGGCTAAGTTCATAAGACGGAGTCTTAATAATCGGAGTTTTAATGTCTGAATCCTATTTCAACACTCAGAACGCTATTGTCAATGATTTTTTGTTTAAGTCGTTTTTATTATTTCTTTTCCATAAAAGATCAGCAAAGCATGGTTTTCTTTTCAGAAATGATCTATTAAAGAATAAATCATGCCGGAAGTTTGCACTGTAAAGTTCCAGATTTTTGGCAGTGGTACAGGGATCCTTAATATGATAAGGCTACTTTATAAACATTTGTCACATAACTACTCTGTTATCAGTATCATAACACCCATCATGCGAAATTGTTATAACCACACGTTTAATGATACCTAGCGGAGCTGTGATTGGCTGAGGTTCCCATTGCCCCATGGTATTGTGACGTCACAATAGAGAAATGTTTGAGGTCAAAATGTCAATAATTTATTTCAAATTTGTAATGTGATAAACAGAATATTGCATTCGCTTCCATTTCATGAAGCATCAATAAAAACGTGTTGTATCTTAAATTAGCATTTCTATGGGTCGATTCAAACTGTTCCATATTAATTTAAGAACATGTGTTTCATTTGTTTATTATTCTTAAAGATAAAAATATGATAACTTATTCGATAGAATTATCAACAATATCAATACTCACCCGCCACAACAAATCTGCATTCTTCCTCTTTGAGGGACTTGATTTTTGTTTCCATTTCCTTTTTAAGGTCGTCAGAGGTTCCTTCTATTTTAAGATAGCTGGCGATAGCATCTGTTCCCCTCATTTCTAACAGCTCACCAGTAGCCTCGACACTGTGCTTTTCCATGATCTTTTGTAAGTCTACCAAAAGGGACAGCAGCTTCTCACGTTTGTGTTTGTCTTCCTGACTGGAAATTGCCATGGAATTGGCATTCTAGAATGAAAAAGGAATGGCTGCAACACTATCCTACATGTACATTTACATCTCTACATCCCTCAGCTTAGTAAACTCTGGCTGCGTATTAATTACCTAACGCGCACCATAGCATATGTTCGTTGCCAGCTGCGTTCATATTACCGTAAACGTCTTCAAAATGAAGGACACTTCTTATTTCATGACGACGTGTAATTCTATAAATCTTCTTTATTTTCGAATCATCTATTTCTAAATATGCTACGTTAAGGGTGGATTTTGCAAAATCTTTTTGGGTTTCGTTTTTTCGTTGAGCAATTATTTCCGAAAATATCGCAAAAAATAGAACCTTGGATAAAACCAGTAAACAGTATATCCAGATAGTCTGCGTTATTGACGCATGATATATATTGTTCACTGATACAGTGTGTGCTGATGATGTGTAATATATATTTTTCACTGATACAGTGTGTGCTGATGATGTGTAATATATAGAGTCTGTATTCCTTATATGTACTTTATCCAAAGGGCTAATACAATTTGTGTTAATTATGTAAAATACGTGAATGTGATTTCATGGAATAAGTCAGTGATGTTACTGTTTAATATCAATTTGACTATAATTAATAAAGCCTTTTGGAGATGCTAACATATAAAAACGACGTCTCAAATATGCGTTAATGATTTTCCTTTATGAAAATTACATGATATTCATATCATTACTGACCAATCAGAAATTGTCTTGTCTACAAAATATAGACTATGAATTAATTCGCATCTTTTCTGTGAATTGTGTAAAATGTTTTGATATTCAACAAGTAAATATTAATTTCTTTAAGTTTTGCAAGATTAATATTCTCTCGCAAATTCATAACAAAACAGAAGGGAAAATATACTAGTAAACATGTATATATATATCTATATATCTTTTGTGGTTTGCTTCTCAGATTCTAAACCTCCAGTTTGATGAAACACGTCAAAACCGAACTAAGGGAAAATATTTTCATTCAGATCAGATAATAATTAAAATTACAAATGGTCAATCAACAATGTGATTATATGTGCTGCAAAAATGGAATGTTTGCGATGTAAAAATGCTTGTATTTTTGGCGTTCAATAAAATTGCGCGAAAATATCAACACACAAATAAATATTTACATATTAAAGATATATAGAATATATGGATTTAAGAACCATTGTCAAAAATGTGAGTATTTCTGTTACCGAGTAGGCGATTTTTAATTTCAGACAAGTTTCAAGAAAAAAGTATTACCTGCGGGGGTCAAATTTTGGGTTAAAAATCATGTTTTTTTGCATATTTTTTTTTTTTTTTTGATGTGGTAACAATGGTTTTCACAAGTCCCAAATCTGGGGAAAACAGCTTTTGAAAAAAAATCAGTTTTCTAAGCATACTGTCATCAAAATGTATTTTATAAATATGTATATATTCAATGTATGTAGGTGTGTTGTTCAGGTTGAATTCACTATTCATGTTTATCTGAGACATGTCTTTTTTTTTCCGGATCAAGCCATTTCTACTGTACACTGCTACCTTAATGTTTACGAATCTGGATCAAAACATACATGTATGTACTATAAAAGAGGACATTTTAGCGATTTAAAATTCTCGTATTTAAAGTGTTAAGTAAATTAATGCGAAAATATCCGCACATAAATATTTATTAAGAGATTAAAGACATAGATAATTCATGGATTTCAGAACCATTGCCAACATTTCCAACTCCGCTATCAGTTTAAAGACACATAACGCTAACATTTCCGCACGCATGAATCCCTATGCAGTTTAGTTGGGCCAAACTGAAGGTTTTATTTATATGGCTTTCTTGATCAATATGTACCAAATAGCAACAAATATCCTTACCAGGTCCTTTGGGTTTCCAGCAAGGGTCCGAGTGAGATGCATTACAAGGCGTTCTTTGATCTCCTCTATTTCGTCAAGGTTAGCGGTGGAGACGCCGAGTTTATCGGCGATATCAAATAAGTCATCGTATTCCTCCGCTCTCTCTACAGCATCCAAATATCCACTGTCGTCTGAGTTAACAGACGCCGACATCATTGTTGTCGTCATCGTTGTCTATTGTTGTCAATACCTACAACAACAAATACATCAATCCCATATTTATAATACTTAAAGCAATAAATGAGTAAATCCCGTATATATAATTCCTATAGCAATAAATGAGTAAATCCCATTACATATTATACTTACAGCAATAAATGAGTGAATCCCATTATATATTATACAATGTACTTACAGCAATAAATGAGTAACTCCCATTATATATTATACTTCCAGCAATAACTGAGTAAATCCCATTATATATTATTCTTACAGCAATACATGAGTAACTCCCATTATATATTATTCTTACAGCAATAAATGAGTAAAACCCATTACATATTATATTTAGAGCAATAAATGAGTGAATCCCATTATATATTATACAATGTCCTTACAGCAATAAATTAGTAAATCCCATTAACCATTATTCCTATAGCAATAAATGAGTAAATCCCATTACATATTATACTTAGAGCAATAAATGAGTGAATCCCATTATATATTATACAATGTACTTACAGCAATAAATGAGTAAATCCCATTATATATTATACTTCCAGCAATAAATGAGTAAATCCCATTATATATAATTCCTATAGCAATATATGAGTAAATCCCATTATATATTATTCTTACAGCAATAAATGAGTAAATCCCATTATATATTATACTTACAGCATTAAATGAGTAAATCCCATTATATATAATTCCTATAGCAATAAATGAGTAAATCCTATTATACATTATTCGTACAGCAATAAATGAGTAAATCCCATTATGTATTATACTTACAGCAATAAATGAGTAAATCCCATTATACATTATTCCGATAGCAATAAATGAGTAAATCCCATTATATATTATACTTACAGCAATAAATGAGTAAATCCCATTATATATTATTCCTATAGCAATAAATGAGTAAATTTCATTATATATTATATTTACAGCAATAAATAAGTTAATCTGTTGTAAACATCTACTTAAATAATTTAATCATTCGTTTCTAAAACCTACATGGTATTATGTCAGTGTAATATTTTAGCATTAAGGGTATTTTGTTGCTTATCAAAAATAGGATACGATGACACAATACGCTACTTCAAGGATCTACACATATGACTTTATAGGAAAGACGGTAACTCTATCCTTTTTTTGAAATCTGTGTGCTGCACAAAGAAATGTCCGATTACTTTATTTGGACTATTTCATTAAATGTTTAATGATATGGCTGAATTTTGGCTGAAATATAGCTATAAATATGCAAATGATTCTTTGATTTCTAAGAAATCCGTAGCAAATCTCGTAGATATTCTTTTTCTAAATTTGTATTGATACTTGATCCCTTCTATTATACGACCAAATAAAATGGGTTATCAGCAAAACATATTGAATTACGAATATACAAAAGTATGTGTTTTCTTTTGTGTACCAATATACAGCTTGCTTGAAATTTCATATGCTAGCTAATTCAGCGGTATATGCACATGCACAGAAATAGCAATGCCCCGCAGACAGCCACGAAGATTTAAAGTTATAAAGCAATTCATTGTTCAACGTCTAAATTACAATACGAACAGATAATTATAAAATACCTCATGGCAAAGCCCCCCTCTGTGTTTCTAAAACCGAGTGCACACTATTATGTCTGATTATGTAACTAAGCAGTATTAGATCAATGTGACGCCTTGACATTAGTCAGTATGGATTTTAATAACAATCTCACTTTTGAATCTAAGGAAGGAAATAATAGGCCTTCATATCAAATATGTAGTTAGTCGGACTATCTGTTATTGTTCGTTTCCCTTTTTTTGAAATAAATCATCAAATTATCTTGTTATTGGCATCTATTATGCAGTCAATGATATATGTAGTCAATATTTTTTCATGGCATGTCTTGACAATTACAATAGGAATATCCCATGATCGGTGAACCACGCGGTAGTATGGTTTAAATGGTGTACCTTAACCTTGTAGTACAATGGGATAGCTATTCAGACCTAGGACTGAAGACCAGGCCTATGTTTTAAAAGCTATGAAAGACTTGTTAGCTGGAAATTTCAAACAATATTTAATTCTAACAAATGTATGACCAAAATTTCTCGCGACACTTAGCTAGTAGTTTTGAATGATTGTACATGACGAGTTGAATAGTCACTGTCTTAATTTTTTCTGTATTTCCTACCGCCGAGCCACGTGATTTGGCCATTCTGACACAATGCATATATCAAATGCAACTGTAAGGCAATGTTATATACCCTGGTCGTAAGTTAAACAAAATCTAAGGGAACCAGTTGTAACATAGAACGTTCTACAGACTAATTCATGTCCTGTTATCGTATTATACACGTCAACGTTATAGTGCTATAATTTGCTAGTGCAATGAACGAACACCTCCATAAAAAATTGCATAATATCTCTTTTTTATATGAATAATATGATTTCAAATTTATCGTTGCGGATTACCGAATGTAAGCAAATATAACCAATATTGCCTGCGTCATACACTCACATTTTCATTAATGGAGTATTTAATTCATGTAATTCCACATTTACGAATATCTTATTAAATAGATTGATTTTAATCCACTATATGTCAACCAAAGAAAAACTTATGTAATGTTAGTATGATGCTACAGATATCATTAGTTATACCACGGAATTAGACTATCTAAGTCCGTGGTTATACTTACAATTCCTTTAGCGTTAGCTCTGTTCCTCTTGTATAACTTGCACTTCATCCAAAAACAACATGACGCACTTGCGATGTCAGGACAAAATATTTACACAAAGCATAACTGCTAATATGCACGTAGTAGTTTTAATCCCAAGGACGCGTTATCACAATGAACATATACCCATAACAGAATGAAGTGTCTCTCACTACCTGGCATGAAATAAATCACTAATATATGACTTTAATTCAAGTCATACGCGTCGAATTTACACTGGTCACCTGCATGCTTTTAGTCAGTGCCAGAGTATAAAACACGGTAAACACTCTGGTCGACAAGGAAGTTAAAATACAATAACTTAGAATAGGTCTTCTCCGAAAACACTCCAATTAAAAAATGGAATATTTTGTGTCTGTTCAACAAAGAGACCACTCGCCGACGTGGAATCGAGCGGTGTATATATATATACCATTCTACAACGATCTATTAAAGTATAACATATTTGTCTTCATTGGAAGAAAAACAAACTACATGCATTGTATATACAACTGTTAAATACAAAACAGATCGGGCGTTCGGTATGTTCTTTGGAGATATGACCGATAAGGGGCGGTTCCATTACAGTGTGTAATATACATACATAATGCATGCATACAATGTAGCTAGGTTCCCATGCTACTGTATCAAACGTTCTTACGTATGCTCATTACATTGCGCAATATGTCATTTCAAATGAAGAAATACCCTGGTCACATTTACGAATGTTAGGTTGTTTTGTACTGCTGGACTAAATGCAAGGATAGGCTATTGATAGGTACAAATGATCGGACAGAAGCAAATTGTCCAAACCAGATTGTAATCGTTTTGCTTGGTCATTGACTCATGAAACTACATTGTAATACTTTTGTGTGTTCACTGACTCCTGAACCTAGAATAATGCTGTGCAGACATAATGAAGTTAGGCTTACAACACTCCAGATTCATTGATCAGTCTAGGCCAAGTGCATTAAATATACATAGCAAAGATAAAAAGCGTTCTCATACTATATATTGACTGTCTCATCGTCGTCCCTTTCACCGTATGAAAGGATTGATAGTCACAAGGTTAAAATAGGGGAGACAAAACCATGGTGACACGGACGTATGCTTTTCCTGTCTCGAGTTCATAAACTAGATCGTTTACTTCCACTGCGTTTTGAAAATTTAATCGTTATTCTTTTGGAAACCCCAAATTTTAGCTAGTATACGACGTGCTTTAACGGGTTGTCTCTATTCACATGAATAGGAATATTAATGATAAAAGACAATAATCACACGACAACGACATTTTTACACTGCAGGAGAGCTCAAGCATTAAAATGTCATTATTGTATATATAATTGAAACGAACCTGAATTCTATTTACGTTTTTAAGTCTTGGCAATCTGCGTAGCTGTGTATATCAGCTGTTGTTCAACTATCCAGGATGCAGATTAAGACAATTTTACAACGTGGAACTTTTAACGATCTGGAATACAAATACTACAAGCATGATCGATGCCACAATCGTTCTCCATTTCACCCTGTTGGTGTCTAGTCGGCGCACCTCGCCCCAGGTAAAAGTCTATCTCCTCCAGATCTTTACCGCGTTACAATTGGTCAACTAGCTAGGTTTTACTGTATCTGGTATTTTCAATTTGAGCTTCGTTGTTGATCCATTCCCATACATGATGCTTAAATGGTTCCAATATGGACTGCACTTAATAACACGAACATGGTTCTTTGGGTCGATCCCTTGGAGCGTGGCAATTCAAATCGAGCAAAAACCTACCGATTCAACAGACAATAACACATCAGTAACAACGGTAAATTACAGGAACTAAGGAGACAATCAAAGTATACACTCAAACCTCATGTTTTGATACGATCTGAAAATTAACTAGCTCGAGTTAGACAAAAGTGATAACCAGCCGTTACTCGTTGGGGAATTTCTTTTTATTCACGTCGGCGGTGTGACATTCTACGCTAGCGGGGTTACCAATCTCCAACATACAGGATAATAACATAGTTGATGTATTACGGATTGGCTGTCATAAATTTCTGAGGAAACAAGTACCGAATATTGTGAAGTACAAAGGTTAATGTCACACGTTCTGATAAAATTTTAGTCATCACTTAATAAACTCTACAAAAAGGAAAGCCAATCCTTAGATACATATTAAAAAATTCAGGTTGATGAAGAGGAACTCGAGTTGTAGCTATATTAAGGCCCCTGAATATGTAAGCAGCAGCTATTACTACATTAAGGTTCCGTTAGGCACATAAATCTAGGTAAATCTTCATGTGGGTTATAAATTTTAATTATATCTAATCAAAATGGACATAGTGATCAGTTACACATCAATACATCTGCCATTATAGAAATCATCACACCAATCCATTCTCAGTGTTGTTAAACCATCAATAAAGTTGAGTTATATTGTCGACCTCCATTTTGAATATTATGATGGGACAATCAAACTCGATCGTAGTACACACATGCTGCAGAATGATAAAATGACGAGAAATGACATGAACATAGCAAAGGTTATTTTCAACACGTGTCGTACAAAACATGCGTTTTTCTATCCTAACTAATCTCTTATATCTGCATTTTGTATTTCACTGGTTGAATGACGTCATGCTAAAGATTATCATGTGATGGATTTATTTTTTCAGTTTTATTATATGATTGTACTTTTTATGACAAACATTTGATACTTTGAGTCTTTTTTATCTGTTTTTAAATTTTGCTATTTGTAATAAAATTTTATTTGTTTTCTGAAATTTAATAGGTAAAGAATGTGCACTCTTTGCTTAACAAAGGAAACAGACGTTTTCGAAAGCTTGCAAGACAAGCAATGGTGTAAGGGGTTGTGTACATGGGTGACACCGATGGCGAGCCGGCTGGGGTTATAATATAATGTCATTCGGAAAACCTTGCCATAATTACAGTACCTTCAAAGGAGGCACTCGGAACTACTCGGCCGATACAGTCATCTAACGATGGAAGGAACTGTAATCGGGAGTCCGGCAAACGGCAGCTGTGAAAAACTAGCTTTGCACACAAACTGTTTCGTATTTTTCTACCGCAAGTGTAATTAACACCAATATAAAATATTATCAGTAAGTTAAGTTGATATATTTAAATATTAATTATTATATTAACGCATATATTTTAAAAGATTGGTATTAGGAAGCACACATTACTATATACTAAAATGGCTGGAATAATCCCGAGTTATAAACTTTTCCGAACGAAACTCTAGTGTTCCGAAGAGCCATTGGGAACTTAGAGAAATGTCTGTGAAGCTGCTGAGTTTTATTATTCAAATGACCATTGGTTTTTGTTGGCCAAAAAGTAAAAGGGTCAGAAATTGTTCTTATTGGTGAGAATCACTGTCATTTGTTAATCTGTTGCGCGTCATTTTCAACATGAATGAGACAAATGAAAGTAGTTTGCTGAGGATTTATATGGTGAGGGTCCCGTAGCCGTAGGGGTAGTGCAGCTGTAATGATGCCAAACTCGGTTATTAAGAGCGCAGAATTATTGTCATAATCAGTCACCACATATTCAAATATAAAGTGAGATTTTAAAATTCATCTTGATTTATCTTATTTTTCGTACACAGCCTCATTGAAGAATTCTAGTTTGGTTTGATTTGGTGTGTGTGTGTGTGTGTGAGTGTGTGTGTGTGTGAGTGTGTGTGTGTGTGTGTGTGTGTGTGTGGGGGGGGTATTTGTTCTATATTATTAATGAGGAAGTCTTGGTTTCTTTGACATGTGTCTACCTGAGGTATGTCGTTTATTCCAAGTTTCTGGTTAATAATTTTACAGCAATTCTGAGGTAAAGATTCAACATTTATCATTCACATCACTTGTTGTAAGCAAATTTTATTGATTTCTGCTGATTATCCTGTGTTATAAATTCCTGGTTTAAAGTTTGTGCTCATGTATTTTGTGAGTTAACAGGTAAAGTATATGTACAACTGTTCAGTGTGCCTCCAAACCAATCAAATTAGTTAACCTCCCCTCACCCACCCCAAGTAGTTGGTTTAGATTGTGTCCCAATTTTTCAAAGACTCTCATATGTTAATTTAGACCTGGTGGTCAAGAATCTTGCAATCTACCAGATATAATCAAATCTTAAATACATGAAGAATATTTGTAATAAAATACAATTTACTATACCCAGAACATTAACTGCTTATTTTTACATTTGATCTAACTTGACCTCTCTAGGTTAATTTTAAGTCCAAGAAAAAAATTCACAATAAAATATATTTTACAGGCAATTTTTTATCAAGAATATTTATACTATATATATGTATGTGTACATATCACTATAGCAAGGCTATTTCATTAGATTAAATTAAT